CCTTAACATAGGCCAAGAAGCCTTCACAGAGTGTGACGCTCCAGTATCAAACAGGATTCTAACGGGTTTATTACACATAAAGATTGTCCCTAAACATGAAGAGTTACAAAATTTATTTATAAAATATGTCATTCATTATTTGTTCATTTCATTTTCATTTATTATTCATCCATATCATAAAAAGAAAATTATTCACTGCAATTAATTAAATTACGTACATGTAACCACATCAAGAGACCCCTTAACTTCTTGCTAGGACAATCCATAGACTCGTGACTGAATATTCTAATGAGTCTGACCTTGAGAAGGCACAGAAGTTCTAGACTCCACAGCTCTTGGTCTACCAGATGTCCTCTGAGTGTTGTTGCCTGACCTCACCTCTGAAGCAGATCTCTGTCCCAAAAGAGGACAAGACTTCGCCATGTGCCCAGGCTGATGGCACCAGTAACAAGTATTAGTGCCTGAAAGGCACTCTCCCTTATGCACACACCCACACTTACTGCACAAAGTAGCATTTGAAGCACTGCTATCAGAGTTGCTGGATCTGGGCTTCTTCCAAGTAGAAACCCCTGACTGAGAAGACTGGTCAACATTTGAGGGCTTTAACCTACCCTTCATCTTCTTTTTCTGAAAATCTCTCCTCTTTTGAGTTGCTTGCATGTCCATCTCGATCCTTCTAGCTCTTTCCACCAAAGTGAGACTTTAATTCCAAAAGGTATAAAAGGCTGCCTTATCACATCCTTCAACGCATTCAGAAAGCGGTGGCACTTCTCCTCAGCATTGGGTATCAGGTGAGGGGCATACCTGGATAACATTTTAAACTCCGTCTCATACTGAGAAACATATCGATCTCTCTAAATCAATCTGTTGAACTTATCCTGCATCTGTCTCATGGCTGTCATAGGTACATACCAGCCTCTGAATACATTTATAAATTCCACCCAAGTGACTTGGCTGCTTGCTCTTCCTCCAAAATTTCTTCTAACTGACTCTTCCACCACCTCTCAGCCTTGCCATCAAAAGCATAAGCAGCCAGTGTAACTCTCATATCCTCTGGGCAAGACATACCCTCCAGTATCTTCTCAATCTACATCAGCCAGTTCTCAACTTTTATAGATCCACCACTTGAGAACAGTAGAGGTTTCATATCCTGAAATAGATTCAGGTTCTTATTCATAGGTCGGCTTCCACTTTCACTGTCACTGCTCTGATTTTGGGAAGTCTTAATCATCTGAGTCATCGCTTCCATCATCTGAGCGAATGACTTCATATTATTGTTCCTCTGATGTTCTGCTACTTCTGGTAGCTCCCTCCATTCCTCCATATCAATGTCATCAGTGACATTCTGCTCAGGATCTATATTCCTGAGATAAAACACATCAATCATAAGGCAAAATAATTCATAAAATTACACTTCCTACACATTCTAAGACTCAATCAATCATCCTATTGGCTCTTTCATTCATCATTACTAAACCTTAGCTCTGATACCACTCATGTCACGACCCGACCCGACTATCCCGAATTAACGGGGCGAGAGCAGACAGTCGTACAAAAAAATATCATAAGATAATCATTACTATTTAATAAAAACTTTTCTCAACAAAATATAAATATCCTCAACTGCATAATATAAGAAAGAGCCACTAAGAAAAATATCAAACTCAATTGTTTGAAACTGTTCTTCTCACACAACTGCTAAAACTTTTAAGTCATCAATTACATAAACTCTAAATTACTGATCAAACATAAGTGCAAACTCAAACTCACTCACAAACTATATAAGAACAAACTCAAAGACTCAAACTGAAAATCATAAAAGAGAATCTTTCCTCCTGAGGTCCCCTACGACGATACGTATACGGTCGTCGTGCTGTCATCACTTATCTCCTGAAAAATATTTCCAAAAGTAAGATGAGCTGACGCTCATCAGGTAATTTATATCTCAGTTAATTTTATAAGATGCATATAACAAAAACATTTATAAATGAAATCATTTCATATCATTTGCAAATAAAAAATATTTGAATTTCCATTTTTACTTTTCTTTTTCCCTTCTTTAACATTTCATTCTTTTCATTCTTTCATTTCACATTTTTTTATACGAAATGCAAATGCAAAAATGTTTATGCTAAATGTATACACCCGTCCCGAAAGTACCCTTTTTCGTACTGATCATGTACGCAGTCAAATTTTGGCAATTTCCTTTATCATTTGGCTTTTACAAGCCTCATTACCATTTAGCTTTTGTAAGCCCCTTTATCATTACCATTTTGGCACTTCCGGATCAACATGCAGCATGAAATTGTTATTTCATTTAAATCTTTCAATTATTATTAATTTTCTTTCATATACTTCATTTATTCATATGCTCTAATTGTTTTCAAAAATATGCATAAAATAAAAATACGAAAATTGTATGGTATATTTTCAATCATCTAATATAAAACATTTAATAGTAAAATAAATACATAAAATTTCATTTTAAGCTTAAAAGAATTAAGCACTTAGAAAATTAAATGAGGTATGAACACCTACCTCTCTTAAGCCCAGTATGTCGCTTCGACACAGTTCTTTCACCTTACATTTCAAGTCTTCAAAGATCACAACATAAGAAATTTACAAAAGAGACGTGTCACAAAATAAAAAATCTAATTCCTAAGTTTCAATCTTTCATTTCCCCTTAACAAAATCCTACGACACTTAATAGATATTTAATTAAATAAACCTTAATTTTTGGATTTAATTAAATCCTAATTTTTGTATAATCATAAATCTTCAATTTTGTCAATTTATTGCTTCAAACGTAATCCTAAACATATAATTATAATTATAGTAAACTTTTATGATTAAAATAATTAGGAAAATTAAGAAAATGAAATTTTCGCTAAAAACTTAAAATTCTTCTTTAAAAACATTTCTTAAACCCTTAGAAATTATTTTTGTAAAGGTGTCATACGAAATTAAAGTTTTAGGTCAAAAACCCTACTTATTAAATCTCCAAAAACTCCTCCAAAAATAACATTTCTACCGTTACAATGCTTTTCTAAACATTACCTAACAATCCCTTAAAGAAATTTTGGAAGAAAATGAAAATTTGAAAAAACCTTAGAAAATTTGATCTCAAATTTCTCAAAATCTAAAAAGATTCGCTTCGAAATATTCATACCTGAAGACTCCTTTCGTCGTTCTCTTCAATTTGGACTAATTTCTTCGCCGTAAAATCGTCGCTGGATAAGAGCCCGCCGAACCTAGCCGTCCGCCCCATTGCCGTTCGTTCCGCTCGGTTTGTGACGTGCGAGAGAAATGAGAGGGGGAAAGGGCCGGTTACTCCTATTAGAGATAATTAGGTTTGCACAATTACTCATATGCCCTCACTTAAGTGGATTTGGCTTAAGGGATAAGTAAGGGTATAATATGTATTTTTAGGCTTCTCATATTTTTAACTCCTAAATTAGGCAAAATTAGATACAAGTTTAATATACCAAAATGATCAGAATTTCGCAAGAAATTTTCTAAAATTATTTTCGTTAAATTCCGTTAACATTGAAAATCTCACTTAAGTCCGCAGCGTGTGACGACCTATTAATGTAATTTTCGGGCTTTACAATAGCTTGTAACCCGCGTGTGTTTTTCAATCATAACACTTAGATTTCTCTCTCCTCCTCAATGCATTAACATCTTTTCAACATTTAGCTCTTTTTTAATTTTACTATTATCTTATTAAATTGATGCTTGTTTAATTAGTCTCAAATAGCTAGACACTAATTTCATAATTTTCATTTTGAACTTATTTATTAACTTTTCACTAGATTAACCTAGGAAAGTCAAGTCCAAGCCAAGTTCGATCATAGATAATTCTAAGCAAACCAAGCATAAACATATATGTTAAAGCTCGGCTCAAGCACATGTCAAATATGAACAATTTTTAGCTTTACGAAGTCAAATTCAATCCATGATATGCTTGGCTCAATTACAACCCTAAATGCACAATATCCTATTTAGGCACATTAGAAAAGTTAGGCTCAGTTAATCTTTGATCTCTTATACCAAATAATGAAGAATTTAAAGAAGAATCAACATTATAGAAAAAGATAGAAGATAGAGGAGAGAAACAATAAAGAATAAAAGGACAAGGCAATAGAAAGAGAGATGAGAGAACTAATACTCAATTAAATGGTAATCAAGTTTTCTTTCAATATAATAACATAACCTTATATATATATGTGTGTGTGTGTGAGAGAGAGAGAGAGAGAGATAGAAAGAGAAATATTTAAAGCATAACAAATTAAACGGACGCATGCTTATAAGTTAATATAGAAAGACTCGCTGTTGTAATAAAGTAAGACAGAAATAATATTTTCGTGACTTTACTTTCTTCCTCGTTCTTTTCTTTTCACCCTTTCTCTGTTCTTGCGCTTCTTCAATCATGAAACTTTGAATACAAGTTTGTGTGAACTAATATCAATAATGTGAAAGAATCCCTGACCTAGTGGTTAAAGAAAAAGGCTATTTGCTCACTATTCTAAATAAAATTATAATTATACAGCAAATAATCGTGAAAGGATTCATGCCTAATGTTTGAAGGAGAAGGTTTTTTCTCCAAGGATACAGTTTCAAACCCATACTTTGCATGTTACAGCTCACCATTCTAAAAAAAATAAAACTAGCACGAACAACAATGATAAAGTTCTTAAACTAGCAATTTTATGTGTAAATCAAATGAAAAAAAAAATCATATTCCAGTATCATTTTGATCCCCTCAGAAACCCCTCTTCAATGCTCTTAAAGAAGCTTAACTGAGAAACCTACTTAAATTCCAAAAACCATTGAGCCGTTCCCCACCAAACTACAAACAAAATTTGTAATATACATCTTTTAGATCCTCATTCTCGCTCTTGAGGTATCCTTGAGGATTCAATTTGAAAAAGAAACAGACAATGTAAACCAAAGGGTGAAATGGAGAAAGAAAAGGAAATTATGGCTCTACAGCGATTGACCCAAATAACATATATGCCACGGTCCCTCGCAACAGAGACAGCGCGGATGACTTCTGGGACGATGGCCTGGCCTCCGGCGACATGCATCGGACCCCCTGGTAAAATGAAATCGTTCTGGGAAGAAAGAAGAACACATTAAACAAACCTAATCAAAAGCGAAGGAGTAGAGAACAGTGCAAAATCATAAGGGTTGAGATAGCTAAAGGTTGTGAATTAGACCTGCATATCAATGACCAACATCGCCGTCTCTCTCCACTTTCCCGCCGCTGCTACCGCCATCGAGCCGTCGAGAACCTCGCTTGGTGTTAACGTGTTCGGAATAAAACCACGCAAAGCAACTCACAGCAGCGAAAAAAATATTTCGAAGCTGCGAAAAAAAAAAAATCACGCCCTTAAAAAAAACATTAAAATCGCTTGTCTTAAAGAAATACACTTAAAAATATTCAAATAATGTAATCCTCCAAATGAATAAAGGAAAAATTTTAAGAATAAGCATTATAAATTATATTAACTGTTTAAGTATGTTTAAAAAAACATATAAACAAAATCGCTTGTTTAACAGGCGACTTATGTTGACTAAGATTAGTTGAGTCAGGTAGTCCTTATGCGGAGTAGACAAAGAAATGATAAATATTAATAAGTCGCCCAAATAACAGGCGCCCAGTATAGCCCAAGTATTAAAAAAAATTAATGAGTAGTGTTTAAAAGTTTAAAAAAAAAATCTATAAGTGGTGCAAGAATAATATGTAAATCGAATTTTTTCTGACTATAAGATTTGATATTATATTTAACTATTCAAAGATATTAGATTTAACACTTATTAAATAATTATTTTTTAATTAGATTTTATAATAAAAAGGTTGGCACCACAAATGTATGTATTACTTATATATACTAAAAATAATGTAAAGATTAATTAGTATTGAATAGGTATGATTAGAGTTAATGAGTGTTTCATTATAAATATAAGAAAAAAATTTAAATTGACTCACTTGCATTTTACTAGTCAAGTAAAAAAGATTCATAAATAAAATGGTAATAATTTAAATGATTCATAACATAAGCATAATGAAATACATAAAAGGATGAACTAGCGTCGCCTATGTGGCCTCTGTGGCAATGCATCAGTGTCTTGAGTGTAATGTTGTAGAGTTCATCGTGGCCTTTGACGTAACATGTGTTGTTCCTCCACAGCAACTTCTTCCTCAGCTATGTTATCTGTATGCAGGGAGCTTGGTATAAAATTTTGGGTGAGATATGCATCCAAATCCGTTGGCACCTGGTTACTGAAGAGGCCCCCAAAGGGCCCTTATTCAGGATAAGAGAAGGATCCAGCATATCCACTGTAATGCTGAGAAGCATCCTAGGTCATGAAAAATTGTGTATCATGCTCACTTCTATCATCAAAGTGTCCTTGATCTTGAATATACAACTACCTGTGCAATCCACGTCAAAGCTCTGCCACTGTGTTTATGTCCCTCTGTTGTTGTGTATTATTTGTACCATTGAAGTGTTGTTGCAAAGCATGTTCAGTACCCAGGAAAAAATCTCTCAGAATTAACAAAAAATATTATTATTTCACAAAAAAAATTATCTAAGGAATTTATTGTATGTTCAATTTGAAGCTACCAGAAGGTGCTCAGAGGGAGCTCTAGGATATGTCGTTGTGGGAGGCTCAACAGATGTCTTCAATATATATAGTGTTGCCCATGACTTGTACCACTGTATGTAGTGATGAATCTAGTAGTTATTGTGCTGGTCAAGGAGGTCCCCTGTAACTATATATCCATGCCTACTCTCCCATATGGCAATGTGTGCTTGGTGGTACAACATCTAGTCCATGTCTGATTTCCCATGACCATCTACCCTTTTGAAGCTTGGCTCCATTGGTTTGACGTTAGTAGTGGGGCATAATCCAAACTATCGTAGTACTCTATCTGGCAAGTGCCACTTAACCCTCTTCCAACTAATCAGAGGCACACGTGCAGTCCAAATGTCCTCCCCTAACAGACAAATATATGCGACCTGAGCATGAATATCAGGCATATATGACTGCCAAATTACCTGCGTATTCAATAATAACTTATATGAATTGAAAATAACAAGTTAAATTTTCATTTCAAAACTTTAGGAAGATACCTGACTATTAAGTAACCATCGAGCTCATCTCTATAGCTAATGATATTTCCAACGGGCAACTCTCTTAGTCGATCCTCATTCCACCTATTACATTTATATTGTAAATAAATAAGATTTTATTGCATGTAGTATTAAAAAAATTCATTAAATTAGATTATTTCATACCTGAACCCAACACTAAGACCATGGAGTTCTACTGGAAAGGGAACACGAAGCAGTGGTTTAAATTTTCATTTTAAAATTAAAAATTTTAGTATAATATGAAAATTTTTAATATCCAATAAATTACTTCTAATTATCTCTCTACCAAATAATTACTCCAAACAAAAATAAAATTTTTAATTTTAAAATACTTCTAATTATCTCTATACTTAACATAACCTCAATTATTTTGAAACTAACACTTATTAAGGATTTCATCTCAAAATTCATTCGAACTAACATACATATAACTTCAAAATAATTAAAATTATTACAACAAATAATTAAAAATTAAAATAAATTTTTAAAAATTTACCTCTTTCCAAACACATGTAAGATTAACCCAAATATTTAACTTCAAAATATAATGAGCATTGCTTAATAACAAAATATGAATAAATTCAAAAAAATTTGTACCCAACCTTCATCTTCTCCATCCCAAAATAACCCAAAAACATGTATATTTTCAGCACAAATTATCACTTTAAATATATAATTCAACCCTAAATCACAGATCTACAAAATATTTAAAACATTCACACCCTACATGCTGAAATCTATACTTTTCGCTAACAAATTTTGAAATTAATTCAACAAACAAAGAGATTTACATAAAAAATTAGAGAAACAATCCGCAAAATATAAATCTTTACTTCTCTAAACAAAATAAACACTAATCAACATGTATTTAACTTAATTAACATAAAATACATAAATAAAAACTTACCTTACCTGATGCAGGCGAAGAACCGAAGCAGTTGCAAAAAATGGCAGAGGGAGAGGAATGGATCGGGAAAGGGAAAGTCATAATTTTATCTAAGCATAAGTCGTCCATTTAACGGGCGACTAACTTCAAGTTATATGATTGCCACATCATCTGTCACGTTGTTCTTTGGATCAGACATAAGTCGCCTTTCAAACGAGCGACTTTGTCTATTTTTAAATTCTTTCAACGACATGTTTAATCTTATAGTTAACTCTCTAATTATGCTTACTTTGAAAAATTGCCCATGAATAAATAAGTAAACTAGTTCAGTCAAACTCTTGATGCGTCAGAGTTGATGCTATAGCATCAGTGTTCTATTCTCTATCTTTAGCCTGAGTTTGAAGCAATGTAACACTCTAGCATACAACATTGTATAGACAAAAAAAATTTATCAAAGCCTTTGCCTCGAATTGCAAAGAAGGGGCGCTACTACTAGGGGTGTAAACGAGTCGAGTTGAGCTCAAATCAGGCCTAACTCAAGCTCAAATCAAAAGTCAAATAAGGAGCTCGAGCATGAGTTGAGCTCAAAAATCCTGCTCAAGCTCAGCTCATACATTAAAAGCAAGCTCACGAGCTCGCTTGAAAAGAACTAGTGAAACGCCGACAGGATCACTACTAGAGAAGAAGAAGAATAGCTCATGTTGCATTTTTTTTCCCATGGGGTTTTCCTACTGTTGGATAAGAAGTATATTTTGAAAGTTGTAGTTTTTATTAGGTTGTACCTTTGCAATTTTATTTTTTTTACCACAGCTTTAATTATTAATATTTTAAATCTTTAAATTTAATAAAAAATAGTAGTCATTTAAAAAAAATCTTTATATACATTCGTGCTGGCTCGTCACTCGAAGTTGAGCCTTGTCAAGCTCGAACTCGAGCTCGTTTAACAAAGGAGCTCAAATTTAAGCCTAAGCTTGAGCTCGTGGCTCAATAAGCTCGACTTGTGGGCTTGTTATCAAGTCGAGTTTGAGCCGGCTTAGCTCACTTTCACCCCTTAGTACCACTCAGCAAACTCCTTGTCAAGTTTGATGGATGAAATTTAAGTCTAAAATAATAGTACAACTTGATTGATTTACTCAATCAAATTCCACAAAGAACTATCAATTCCCCACTTGAAAATGAATGTGATCAAACCTCCTCCTCGTCTATTGCATCAATCAAAGTACTTGTAGCATGGCTCACCTCTTCCATTATCTATCATAAAGATCAACTGAAGCTGCACTTGGCTTCAATTTATCAACTGCCATTATCTTCGTCAACATATCTACAGGATTTTAAGTCATGTGTATTTTCTTCAAAAATAACTAACCATTTTTCAAAAATGATCTGATGAAATGATAACTAAGTTGGATGTATTTCACCCTAGTATGGAATGCAACATTTTTAATTAAATGAATAACACTCACGCTATCACTACGCAACTTTTCATTTATTTGTCAGTTGCTAAGTTATGTCATTGAACTTTACAACAACATCATCTCCTTGCTAGCCTCATGGATAACAATGTATTTAGCTTATGTGGTTGAGAGTGCAATAATCTTCTGTGACTTAGAAACACCACTCACTATTGTACTTCCCAACATGAAAATATATCTTGTTGTACTCCTACCATCAATATCACAAGAAAGATTAGAATCTACATATCCCTGCAGTTCAATCCAGTTTATCCAAAGCTATGTGCTTCGTTAATTGTTTCAAATACTCAAGAATATACTTAACAACCTCCTAATAAAATTTACCTGGGTTACTCATGAATTTGTTGACTACTTGTCACGCCCCAAAACCTAATGGAAGAATTAAACCCTGAACCTAAACATCTCAAACACAACGTAAAACATTCGAAAATCAATAAAATAACCAAAATAATAGATAATTAATAAAAACAATCATTTAGATTTTCATTCCAAAACCAATCATGTACAAATAATCCAGTATGAGTTGATTATATAGATCAAAATATAGTATTAGACTACAAAACACCTAAATAGAAGAATTCCAAATAGTCCTAACCTTTTCAACCTCTATTTGGTTGAACCGTTCTCCATTCATGAAATGAGAAATTTCACAAAATAACATGGTGAGCATTCATATATTCTATAGGGTATCATAATTCCTATTAATGCCCACATTTATGGTGTATAAATAAGAGATTAAAATATCAATTATAAAATAACAAAAATAACTTTACTCTTAGAAAATATAAAGAAAGGGATTGCTTGTACCAACATTGTCAAAATGACAACATAATATGGTTTCAACTTGAATATTCATCGAA